TTTTTTTTTTTTTTTTTTTTTTTTTGGTTTGCATGAATACTGTGATCAAAATTAAGGAATAATTGAAACTCTCTCTCTTTGACTAGCTCATTTCAGAAAGCCAGGTCATTTGACCAAAATATCCGTGAACTATGATCTTGGTGGGGTGGTGAGCAGAGCAGTGATCATGGAGTCGAGTCCTGAGTATTCATCCAACCCAGTCACACAGACCTGATGGTTATTTTTGTGCCATTCAGTTTCCTTTCAGGGGCTTGGTGTTCTTTTGTATAAAATTAGAGGTTTTGCTAGATGATATCTACAATGCTTCCAGTTCTGACATTTTTTAGTTCTTCCTAGAAGGAGGCTGGTTTCTCCCTGCTTCTTCCTCCTTCGACCCATACTAGGCTCCTGATGCCTGCTGTGTCTACTGTAATAAGTGGCATCTCTCAGTCAGAGGTCACGGTAGCTGGTGATTTTCCAGTGGGTGTGGAGGATGGAGGAGCAGAGTGCAAAGTGCTGGGGCTGTGCTTACTCAGATTGCATCCCCGCTCTACCCTGCAGGGGTTTCCACACAGGGTTCAGGGACTTTAGTGTCACTGCCACCAGTGTGCTGGGCTGGAAAAAAGGTAGAAAGCAGCTGTTTTAGAGCTAGCCGATATTTCGAGCTAGCAAGGACTTAGAAATCCTCATCTGGTGCATCCCCTTCATTATATACGTTAAGAACATCAGACCCCAGAGATGATAATGAACATCCCAAGGCCACACTGTTAGTGAATGGCAGAGTTGGGAACAGAGCCCAGGACTCTTTACCTTCCAGGCCAGTGCTCTTTTCTGCCACTTAGTTTCCTCTCCCTCGAGGGGATCAGGGGATCACGCAGACAGTATTGTTCTCTCTTTCCTTAGGCTTTGCAGCTGGAAACACAATCATGCTACCTCAGGCACCCTTTTTTTTTTCACTCAAGTGTGAGTGTATTTAACCTCCTTTTTCCCATACTTTTTTTTTTTTTTTTTTTTTAGGAATCTTGTTATTTTTTATTTATTACTACTTTTTAGGTAATCCTATTCTGTGTCTCTGCGGCTGCCCACCTTGAAAATGTCATTTGAGAAGCACAGAACAACCCTATTCATGGCTAATGGGCATAAGTGTAGGCACCGGTCCAGTTCCTGAATCAAGGAAAAGAAAGCAGTGAACTCTGATAAGATATAATAAATCCAGTAAAATAAAGAGTGTTAGTTTTAAAGATAATAGACAGCTCAGTTTCATCAAATCTAGGATATTTAGAAAACATCAAAATACCCATTTCCTAACTTAGGACTTGTAAGATGTTATTCAAGAGTCTACTTAGTTTAATGGAGTAGCAACCGAAATGCAGCATCAGAGTGTGGAGAACATTCTTTGCTAACAGAACTAGTCCACAACCTCTCCCCACCCCCGAATTTCACCCTGGGATAAATAGCAGCTGACCTTTCAAAATTATGTTTATAAAAATATGTACCTGCCACCCGAGGTGCTTTTGATTTTCTGTGCTAAAATAGCTCAGGAAAGTGCAATCATTAATGTTAATAGGCTGATTTGGGAGTGACCAGAGAGTAAGGAGCTATTTGTTTACTGGAACGTTGTAATGCAATGGTAATTAATATAATGTTAATTTCAGTGTGATGGTAATTAAGACCCACTGTGTGTACTTTTAAATGCAGGCATAGCATTATTTGTTTTGGAATGATTCTTTTTATGGATTACCATCTTGGAGCTGAGCTAACATCAAATTTTGCCACGTGGAAACTGGAGAAATCTCAAAGTTCTGTTGCACACCTTACTGGCACAACAATAGACCAGAGTGTTTTTTTGGTCTTCTGAGTATGTGTTTTGTATGTTTTTTAAAAGTTGTATTTTGTTTTTGCCTTTGGATTTCATTCCATAGTACCTTTCAGAGAAACATTCAACAAATATTTTTTGAGGATTATCATGGGCTTGATGCTTTCATATATGTATTTATCTCACTAAATTCTCCCAGTTACACTATGAAATGGGTTTTATCCCCAGTTTACAGGCAAAGTGTAGTGAGATTAAGTATTAGCTTATCTAAGAATATACTGCTGCCCATGAAAGGCAAAAATAGAATAGGAACCGGAA